TCATTTTGCATCTCGTCATAGGTGGCTGTGTCCTTGGGCCTGATTGCAGCTCCTGTAAAGTGGCCGGCGATGGCCTGTGCCTTGAAGACCATGAGACTCCGAGAAGTTTTCGTCGACGCATGTCGACATGGGGCTGGAACCGCCATGCTTTGCCTGTTCTACAGGACTTGACACATAGCTCCTTTCATGCCCTGCCGCAAGGCACACCACTCTGCATATCAGGTACGATGCGTGCAGACATTGCGCTAGTTGTACTGGCTGTTGTCCGTGCTGTTCCAAGCCATGTGGCCATGTGTCTACGCACGGACTTTTGACTAATGCTGCAGATTTTGCATAACTAGCGGGGCTTATCAGAACCCAAACCGAGCCGCCCCGCGGATGCAAGCTAAGTTAGGACCGTCGAGGGTATGTTGCAGGTTACGAAAATGCTTTGAATAGTTCGCGTCTCGACAAAATGACGTTCACGATCCGTAAGTTTATTCAACGTTGGCATTCCGCATGGAGCGCCCAGCCCGTGACATTGTGAATTCCATCATTTGAACATGCATGCCACTCAATCGTTGAAAGTCTGTGTGTGTGTGACGCCTTGTTGCAGCAACTACATCCGTTTTCCAACTATGCGATGTTGAAGTTGCGACACTGGGAAATGTTAACATTCAATCAGTTGTTTGATTGCCACTTTTGAAGCATTACATACATGATGCTGGTGTGCATGCAACATTTGCTGCAACGTGGATCTCGAGTCACTTTGCGACGAGCTTCTTGATTTGTAAGACTGTTGCCCTGTTGAAGGCTGAAGGGCTGGATTTGTTTATAAACCTGTCTGTCGCTTGTGCTCCCGCAGTTTCCCTTCGGACCTCTTTGCAGGCACTTCCGCCGTCCATCCTTGTGTTGAGTTAGCGAGGTGTCCTCTGTTCGCCCGAAGCCAAGGCCACAGCCTACTGTCCCGGCACTCTCCGAACCGCGTTTATCCGTCAGGCGAGCTGTGCGATGAGGCACGACTCACGAGGCTTCCAAAGCCCTGCGTGCGTCGGCGCAAATGCGAGTGCCTAACTTAGAGTGCGTGTCCGGTATGATGTCCCGTGCTACGCAGTTGCCTTCCCCCAAACGACACATCTTGGCTCGCTGCGGGAAGATTGGGCCGAATGTCAGCACAGAAACCAAGTTCGATGTCGCAAATGCCGACGGTTGACTGCGCGGCGGCTGCCAAAACGTCTGTGCGGCCGTCGGTTGTGCACCCGCTCCCGATGTAGCTGAACGCACAGCCGCGGTCGAGTTTCCCTACCCCATAGTCAAATCCAGGGCTTATATATAGCCCGACAGCGGCTAGCGCAGTGGCAGTCGGCTCGGCCCCGCTGCGTCGGCGAGGTCGAGCACACGGTCAAGCTTCGAGCCTTGTCGCTGGCTCCCGTGTGGCGGCGCGAGCCACACGCTTCCGAGTGCATGCACGCCGGTAAGAAGGTGTGTGGGAAAAAAACCGTGGGGCAAATGACATTGTTATCTATGGTCATGTAGCTTGTCGTCGATTTCCGGCTGCCACAAGCCTTGTTGTTCTGGTCAGCCTTCTCGGGCTCAGGCTTGGTTTGTTTGTTTGGCTCAATGCATCGAAGTAGCTCAGCTGTTTGGGGTTTGTATCCGGTACCCTGGCGCATCGGACGCCTCTATTTTTGTTGCCGCCGCGCAGTGCAAATTGAAGGCTCTTCATCCGGACTGAAAGTCAGTCCAGAATCTCCGCTCCCGCACACTAACAGATGTGATAATGTTGGATGGCATGTTCGCGGCGCGTTCATGCAAATCCAAGCACAACTCGGCACGAGTTCTGCGGGTCCTCTTCTTTTTGGTTGCATCGCACGTATGCCCCATTCTCGGATCGACAAGCGGGGTTTGCCAAACCCCCATTCTCGGCTCGAGCCACCAATGAGCACTTGCGCACGCTCTTGGACCACGAGGAAGACAGCCAGCTTCTCCACTGCGCCGCGCAACGCCT